ATTCATAATTTTTAATGCATTAATATGTACTTATTTGTTCTTTAATTTGTAGTACCCAAAACAAATGAAAAATAGCTTGAATTATGAATTCTGCATTATGAGGTTCATGAAAGACATTATTATTCATAATAAGAGCACAATTCTTGTGATAGTATACTAACAATTAATTTTCATTTTATAATTGCTAATGAATTTAATTTATTAAAATAAATTTATGGTGGATAATTTATTTATTACAGTATTATGAGGATTTCTACATTGAAGAATTTGAGCATGCACAAATAAATAAAGTAATTGAAGAGTGGTGCCAGTACATATTCCAAGTGTGGTCATTGCATAAAGATAAAAATTAATAGAATTAGCACAAGTAGGATTAGTGTTTATAGTTTTACTAGTTTTTAGTCACTACCTGATATTAGTTGGTAAACTACTTTCCTTTAAAAAATTCTATACATTGATTACTTGATAGATTAGAATAAGATATTAGATTTTGTTTCATTTTGTATTGATTATAATTCAATTTCAATTGATATTCATGTATGAAAATGTTGAAATTGCTGTTTGGTTATTACTTGTATAGTTGTTACAAGGAGGCTACTATAAATAACTGACCTCTATCTTAAAAAAACTATAGAATATATGACAGGCAAATATTTTCCTGTCATTTATTTACCTGTCATTTATTTTTATCATAAATGATGGATATTTTCAACACCTATTATTTATTCTGACAAAAGGCATAGAAAAATATATTTTAAATGATAGGTTATTTAACCATCATTTATACAGAAGAATAAATGACAGGTAAATAGCCATAATTTATTTATGGGAACTTTAAATGATAGGGTTATAAATGATGGTTCATAACTGTCATTTATAAACAAAAATAATCATCATATATGTCATTTTTTTGTAGTAGCATATTGATGACTGTGAGGCTTACAATTTAGTTGGGTGAATATTTATTTTGGAAACACCTTCCTTTTAATGTAATTTTTGAAATCTATGCATTATCACTACTAGAAAAATACAAATTAGCGAGGAAATTTAGCAAGGGATTATCTATTCCTCTCTAAAATACCAAGTTAGCGAGGAAATTAGCGAGGAATATTAATTTCGTAGCTTGACTTAAAATTAGCGAGGAAATTAGCGAGGGATTATCAATCCCTCTCTAAAATAAGAGAATTAGCGAGGAAAATAGTGAGGGACTGTCAATTCCTTTCTAAAATAAAAGAATTAGCGAGGGATTTAACGAAGGACTATCAATTCCTCTCTAAAATAAGAGAATTAGTGAGGGATTTAGCTAGGGACTGTCAATCCCTCTCTAAAATAAAATAATTAGCGAGGGATTTAGCGAGGATTCTATCCCTAGTTAATTACTAAAAAAAAATTACCTTTTGACAATGACTTTTAATTATACATTTAATTATTTTCATTTAAAAATAATAATTAAATTTTAAAAATTAACTAAAATATTTATAATAAAATTATTTAATATTTTCTTTATTTTAAGTTGATTTTCATTAATAAAATAATGTTTTATTAAAAATATAATATAAATAATAATTTAAATAAAATATAAAAATTTTTAACATATTAATAATTGAAAATAAAATTTAATATGTATATGTGTGTATTTTTATAATATATTATTTAATATATTTATGTAGTTAAATAATATATATATATATATATAATTTATCATATAATGCTTAAAGGTGCCTTTCAGTTCAACTGGCAAAGAAGGAGAGCATAGAGCTTGGAAGGTATCAGGTTAAGGGTTCAAACTTTGGCTTTGGCATAAACATAATGAATATATGATATGGTAAGGAGTAAGTGACATGGCGCAAGGTGGACAATGATGTGTCATAAGTTGTCACACATGTAGTGGGTGATAGGGCACGAGATAGTAGGTGACATGGTGGTTGACAAAGCATGTTGATGACATGTCACAAGTTGACATCACACATGGCCGGTGATGTGGTATAATTATTTTTAAATATAAGCATATTTAGCGAGGGATTAGTGAGGGATTCAGTCCCTCGCTAATTAGTGAGGAAAAATACAATTCCTCGCTAAATTTAGTGAGCCCTTTTTTAGCTAAGAATTTAGCGAGGGACAAAATTCATAGCTAAAATGCAATTTAGCTACAAAAAATGGCATTTAGTGAGGGATTCGTCCATCACTAAATTTAATTTTTCTAGTAGTGTATGTTTTCGAAGTACAATTTATCGTGCCCCATGTTGACTTTAGCTAGGGTCCTGATCTCTTGTTATCTTGTCTGTCTGCTATTGAGAAGTGAAACTCCATATTCTAATTGTTGTTTTGTAAAATATCCATTCAGGAGGTCCTATCTATAAAAGAGGTGCTACTAAAATTTCTACAAAAAGTTTGATACTTTTGGTTTATGGAAAAATGTAGTGTAAGTATGTATAATAATGTTATTAATGTGTCCATTGTATTAAATCAAAGTTTTACTTGATTCAAGGCTTGAGGGATATGTATTATGCATATATCTCATGGCGATCAAATCTAATTTTAGGGCATGACACTTTCTTTGCTTCTCAAATAATGCTCCAATAACCTAAGAAGACAAGTAATTTTGTGAGATCCAAGTTTAATCTTAATACAAATAAAAAATATGCTCATTTTAGATCAAAATTTTGTCATTTAAGCCCAAGTATAAGGTATGCACATTTTCCTATTATATGTTTTAAAAGTATGCACAACTTCATCAAAAAGTATATGAAATTGTAAAAAAATGCCCTAAGATGAAGTAAATTTCAAAGAAAATGGCAGTCATTTGCATACAAGAGTTGAGACAATGAGTAGCATTGCTGTCTCATGTTTATACGTATAAAGTTGCCTTGTTGCTTCTCATGAATCAAAAGACAAGAAAGAACATTAGATGCCAAAATAAACAAATAAGGGAGCAAAGGATCTTCCTATCTTATCCCATTAGTAGGGAAAGTTGTTTGGGTGATTCTACCATTGAAAATGATGTGGTATTCAACTGTTGGCACACGTCGTAGAATTAAATTAATTCATTTGTCTAGAAAATTCATCCTCTTTGGTACAGCTTTGAAGAGATCCCAGGAGACCTCTCGAAAGCTTTGGAGAAGTCAAGCTCTTAACTTCTTCCTTTTTTCTTTTATTGATTGAATTTGGTGGACCAAGTCTGTCGCTACTAAAAGTCCATTAGAGATATATGTCTATTGGGTTGGTAGGCAGAATGGAAAGGTGAGCTAAGTCTTGGTAACACGGACTTGAGCCTATTATCAAGGACTTTTGGAAATAAACTTATAGGCCACATTGCATAGACTTATCAGCTTGATATCCATGAAAGTCCTTGTCGTATATCTTTTTGGGATTAGAGTGACAAAGGTCTTGTTTACAATCCTTAGAAGATGCTCTGAATACCAGAAAGAGGAAACCATGGAAAAGATATCTTCTCCAACAATGAGCCAGAAAGTTTGCGAGAATTTTATGTGGAAACCATCCGACCCTGGTGAACTATTAGAGAGATTGAACACAGCATTTTAATTTACACTTCATCCCTTGTGATAGGAGACATAAGAAGCTGTAATTTTGAATCACTCAACTCTAATATGTAGAAGTCATTGAGTTCATTAACCAATTGATAAACATCTCGAACCTGATAAGCAGAATAGATATAATTAAAATGTTCCCACGTAACAAAAATCAATTCCTCCTCATCTTCAATCCAATTACTTGGGCTTAATTCCAGACTTCTAATGAAATTTCTTGCTTTCCTTCAATTTACAATGATATGAAAGTAAATTTCTATTCTACATGTTAACTTAGCTTGTTGCTTTAGTTTATGGATTATTTTAATAACATAGTGATAATTTTGTGATATGAAATGTCATCCTCTGTCTCTCCATTTTACGAATAATATATATATATATATATATATAATATTTTTTTCTCTCTCCTTTAAAAAAACGTGGTCTTTTTTTATCATATTTGTAAAAATAGAGAGAGAAGATGAAAATTGGCACCATTCTCGCTGTGTTATTAAAATAATATATTTCATACGGGTCATGTTGCAGCTAAACGTACATGTACTTCTCTGGTCCCACCACTCATAGCATATTTTTACATGAATAAAGCAAAATGTTAAAATTTATTAATTCTGTCTAATTCTTTTTTTTTTACAATTTTATTCTTATTAAATATACTTAATTTCTCTAATCAACATTTAAGGGAAGGTTCAAAGGTTAACTTGTGATAAAAAAATTAATGATATAATTTATAAAAAGAATTAAAAAATAATTCTCTTTTGGTTTTATAAGGAGAACAAGAAGGAGAAGAATTAAAAATGTATTAGATATTGTGATTTCATTGATTAGTGCATAAATTATGTTATACTCTTAATCTATCTTATTAGGTTTGTCCAAGTATAAATAGATTTAAGATGGTGTGAAAAGTTTTACATTAGATAAAATTAGGTTTAATAAATAATATATAATAAAATATAAAGACCCATAAATTAAAGTAAAATATTGAGATTTAGTTAAATTATGTTGTATCTTTCCACTAGCTTCAGCCGTTTCTCATTTTTTCCCAAAAATTGAGCCACTTGTTTCTCCTTTTTAGTGCTTACCCTAAGCTAATCCTTCCCCAAACCAAAGGATGACCCCCCCCCCAACCCCAAAAAAATCCCCCATGCCACTTAGGAGTTTGATCCCAGTGTGGGGCGCCAATTTAGCTACAAGGCTCTTGGCAGCGCTTGTTTCTACTCTCCCAAGTATTTGAGCGACCTATATAACTAATTTGAAAAGATTAATTAAGAACTGGCACATCTCTGTGACTCTCTCAGCCCTTTATCTTATTTTTGCCGCCTAATCATGAAGCGGAAAAATCAATTAATTAGCTGATAAATATATGGTAAATAATAAATGAATGCCCAAACTACCCCTCTAAATCATCTAGTGTGTCTATAAATAGAACCTGTCATCCTCTCGTTTCCATCACACAGAAAAAACCTCCTCTGCACATAGCGAAATCATCTTAAGCAATGAAGACCACCTTTCTTGCCCTCTTCCTTGTCTTCGCCTTCGCCTCAGCCAAAGCTGATTTTGTGGTTGACACTGAAGGCAACCCCGTCAGAAATGGCGGCTCATACTACATCCTCCCAGCCCTCTGGGGACACGGCGGCGGTGTGGGTCTCGCCGCTACCGGCAATGAATCTTGCCCTCTTACCGTTGTTCAGAAAAGCTCTGAACTATCCAACGGTTTACCCACCAGACTTGCTTCTCCATACAGAATCGCTTATCTCCCCACAAATTTCATTATGGAGTTCACGGTCGTTGCACCGCCAAAGTGTGCCGACACACCGGCAAATTGGACGATTGTTCGAGGAGAAGATGAGACATAGGAAGTGAAACTTTTAGGGTACGAAAACACCCTGCGTGGTTGGTTTAAAATTCAGACGTCGACAGTTCGAGGTATCTATAAGATGGTGTTCTGTCCCACTGATGAAGATTCTTGTGGTGCTGTTGGGATTTCCAAGGATGGGAAAGGACACAGGCGTTTGGTTATTGACGATGACGCTCCTTTCCATGTTGTGTTTCGCGGAGCTGAATCATCTGCTTAATGAAGAGCCTCCTTTATCGAAATGGTGAAGCCACTGCATGATGCAAGCAGTCTATAAAACTCCTTGCACTTATCGAAGAATAAATGAAATAATATAATGCTACGTGCCTTCCTTTTCTCCATCTGTTGCTGAAGTCTAAATTAAATAAAATTATGTCTCAAGTGGCTTCCTTTTCTCTTCTCTCTCTCTCTCTCTCTCTCCATATATATATATATATATATAAGCTTAAAGTATATATATATATATATATATATAAGCTTAAAGTATCGTCCAACTTGAATGAATTCGACTCTTTTACTATCATTGACACAAAATTTGAAGGAGTTAATATTTGTTTTATACTAGTCAGCAACTAGTTGTGCATAACTGAAAAAAGGCCTCATATCCTTTATAACACCTGGAAGGAAATATGGCACCCTGACTCCTTTCCTTCATATCGCTTTGTATTTTGAAGATTATTATAATGTTGTGGCTATTGATTTCCAGCACTATTTCCAGACTAACCATGACACAGATCTAGTTCATGCGCACAAAGTATATCTAATTCTTTTCAACTGCAAATAGGCCAATAAAAAAAAAATTAGGTTTCTAAACGTAGAATATTGAAGGACAAATCCATAGTGTAACGATTTTGGTTCACATCCTCAACATTCAGAAACACTTTGTTTTTCCTAACGTTAGCATCCTAGCATGCATAGAGACAGAATAGATAACACGGAAAAAAAAGAAAAAAACAAAACACAAATTGGTGAATATACACGCTAAAGCCATGTATTAGCTACGTACTTCTCATTTTTTCCCCCTCTGGTCTTTCCTTTCTTTAACATAGAAATTCTGATAAATAACTATATACTTTCTCAATCCCAAATTATAAGACATTTTTTTAAAGAAATTTGGCATCTTAAATATAGGATACTTTGATAAAAATAAATCTTCATTAATGATGATTTTTTCAATATTACCCTTCCCGTTATATTTTTCTTTTATGAAGCCTTTCTGTTATATTCTCTCTCTAATATTCTTTCATAAATGAAGCATAAAATTAAGAATATTTTTAAAAATGTATGTTTTTATTTTAACAAATAAAGTTGTAAACTATATTTAATGAGTTTTATTAGTTTATATAATTTCTTTTTAAATTGTCTTATAATTTGTGACCCAGGGAGTATCGTGTATGCATGAAAATGTGTGGAAAAAAAAAGGGGGGGAGATGAGTTTCAGGCTTACTTAAGCCATACAAGTCTTTATTCCAATTTTTTTTGAAAAAAAAAAAGAGCAGAACAAGGCCAATATTTTGAGGGCCAGCACTGCCACACATGTACAGGTTGGGCCGAACTTTCTAAGCTTGAAATTGGCTAGGTCATGGACAAGCCCGCAACCCATTTTTCCGGTATTAAATTTAAATTGGATTATATTTTCCATACTTATTAATTATTTCTCGTCTCTATATAAATTTTTTTAACCAAATTCTGCATAATAATAAAAATTTATTATTCAATTGAAATCATATTAAATCACAATAATCTTTTAATTTTTCACTAATAATGTCAATTAATATCTTGATGGTGGTGGACGACGCATATAGTTAATATCTCTTTTATTTTTTTAAGATAAATAAAAAATTTTTTAATTATTCAAAAATATCATAATATCTTTTATATTTAGGTATAAAAAATTATTTAAAAAATATCCTACATATAAAGATAGAGGGAGTAATACATGGGTAAATTTTTTAAAAAATAATTTTCAAATTATTGGAATTGGAATGCTTACTTTGCTGGTTTGTGTCGGCTCCATTTATTGAGAAGCACGGTGTTTGAATGGAAGTAGTTTGGATTAATGAATGAATGGAAGCAGAACTTGCAATGGCCAAGGCACATAACATTACCTGTGGGAAAATACAATTATTATGTCCTTCTAGAATTTTTTTTTTTAAGGAAGCAATTTAAACGTTATTGTAAAGCATTGCAATTTACTCATTCCAATTCTTATTATATAGCACCTCTAACTATCTCATAGGAATCAAAAAAGATAATTAAATAATTACTTTCATATGAAAATATAATAAAATTTTAATTTTATCCCTAGTTAAATAAAAAATCTTCAAATTTGCATTACATTTTTCATAGTTAAATGAGTTTAAATAGGAATAGTATTAAAAAATATAATTAATACTTCATCAAATATCTTATATTAAAAACTAGAGAATCATTTTAGAAGGCGGACTGTAGACTACAAGGAGTATATAGTGCTGTCCTTATGGATTTATTACATCCTTCTAGATAACCATTGAGTTATAGAAAGGTTGATAAAATGAATAAAGTAATATGGTAAAATATTAAGAGTAAAGGACTAACTTTATTAATGAAATATTTTTTAAAAGAATATCTAATATCCCATGCCACATGAGGTGGTGTAAAGAAATCATCATCTATAAAACCTTCCATTTGTTTTCAACTAACGGCTGTTTCTTCATAAGTGTGGGGGCCACGTTCATTCAACTTTTCAACTCAATGCCGTCTGTAATTTTCACGCCACCTTGCCAGAACTCCTTCACCGTTAGCGTCCCACTACTATCAACTTGAAATCCGAGCTCTCTAAGAGTACCCCAGTGTGAGTGAGGCAAAGATAGCAGAAAGAGAGCTTATGCAGGGAAGCCCAACCACCAAGCAGAACAAAAGATTCAGAAAGAAGATTGGAGACGATGGATGGGATGGTGTGGGACCAATTGAATTTCCAACGAAAGTTGTGAATCAAGGAGGAACTTTTGGTGCAAACATAGGCAAGGCAAGCCTAGTGTCGAGGATCGTTTCATAGGCTAAGAAAATTGTGGAGAATAATAACCTTCGGGAGCATTGAGAAAAATGTTTATGCCATTATTGATCGATCTCCTATAGTGACCTAATAGAATCAAAATGAGGTTTGGGGTTTTGGTATGGACGTAAAATGTCATGCCTCAAAAATTAGACATAACTAGCACGAGATATATATAGAAAGATATCCCTTAAGTCTTGATTAATGAATCTTTAATATAATGTTTTAATTCATTTAAATGAAGTTTTAATATTTTTGTAGAAATTTTAACAAAATCTTCCTTAAGAATAGGATTTTTCCAAAATTTTACAATACAAATTTCTAAAAAAATATTATAACATCTAGAAGCTCAGCTCCTTTCAACTAATAAACAAAATATTTACAAAATAAAGACCCTTAACATAGGCTGTGGGGAGCACCTATAACATTATTTATAAAAATACAATATATAGATTAAATTTTTACATAAAAAAATAGAGATTAACCAAAATGGCATCACAACTTCAATCTAGTAGCAAAATCCCTTGAATGATCTAATTGAGGTACAAGCTATCTGAGATAAAAAATATTTTTCAGTGACTAACATCTCAATTATAATATTTTTTGTAAATTCAAAATGAATAAACTATAACATATACATAAATTAAAAAGAAAGCAATTAAATGTAAATAAATTTGTAAGTTTAGAATAAAAGTTCTATACAACTTGATTACCAAAAGACTTTAAATCTATAATGACAAAACAATATTAACATTTCCTCTTAACAAGTCAAAATGATTAAATAAATACATAAACAAAAATAATAACATTTTTCTAATTATAAACCATTGGAGTATGCAATCATCAATTAATTAAAAATTCATATTTTTGTAAATTTATCAGAACAATTTACAAACGTGAACATACAATTCATGGAGGTAAATAACCAAATGCAGCTTATGCCATAAAGAAAAACATGGACAAATAGTCTATGACGGTAAGTAACCAAATGCAACTTATGCCATGAAACAAACGTGGTTACATAATTCACGAGAGTAATGCTAACCAAACGCAGCTTGAAGCTATGAAAACAAACGCAAGTATGAGACACACGAATAACAAACGTGAGAACAAAACTCATAAAAATCAAACTAACTAATAATTGACCATGGCATGCCAAGGGCTAATGAAATTTTGATTAGCAACCAGTGTTCTATATAAAGTCCTCTTTAAATCCATTTTCAAATGTGCAAGAAAATCTTCACTTTCAAAATAAAATTTTCTCTTCTCAATATCAAACTCGCATAAACTGTTTAAAACATCAATTCTTTTAAATATGAAAATTCACAACTAATGTTTCATAAACTTCTTCACCAATTTTCATGATTGTTTTTATTGAATAAAAGAGTACTAGAATTTATAAAAGCATATTTGCCAATCTTAAAAGTATATATCATGATAACTTCATGAGCTAAAGAAATTTAATTAACAACAATAATGAGTACTTGAGAAACATATATTAATGATTGTAAACTATAGAAAATAATATTTGATAAGAGGAAATTTACAAATGTATAAATTGATTGGGACGTTATCTACTTCTTTGTGGTGTTTTCAAGTGTAAATTCACTCTTTGGGTTCAAATCTTCCTTTTTCTAAACACCCTATTCAATCTAAAAGATAATTCAATGATCTCTACTCAATTTTAATAAACTTTTACAATATCAACAACACCATGATCACCTAAATTTTTAACTAAATATAATCTATGCCTTAATTCTTCCACTCTCTACTAAACTTAATATGTACCCTTTATTTAACACTTTGTTTCTATCTAACTTTTTCTCAAGTATACATGTAACTAAACTTGCATATATATATATACCACCTTTAATCACGCTAAAATTTTAAAGTTCTTCTATCATCCATTTTATTAAACACCTTAATTAAGTACAATTCCAAGATCAAGTCTTAAAATAACACTACTATTTATAGTCATCAACCATGCAATTTTTTAAAATTCAATTTGTCTCACAGCAGCTTTACAATCAAAATTCATCACAAAACTCAAGTTAAATCCATGGTTAATTATAAAAGGGGGAAAAAAAGAATACTATCTCAACCATAATCCATCTAAATAATTCAAAGTTTTCCCCCAAGAACATTGTCATTTATATCACAGTTTCTCCTTA